AATCGAGGAAAATTGACTCTATTTTTGATCAGCAAATACAGAAGACCGGATAAGAAATTCTTTTAACCCGAGAGAAAGTGTTAGGCATTCCCGAGTTTCGTGGTTTTAGCACGGTCACTCAACTATTAATAATTGGCCTAATTATCTAATTTATTACATGTTTTAAACCTATTGTGCATTTTAACTTTTATACCGCTTTTAATTATTTATTGAATTATTTCTGGAACAAACCACAATTGTTGTACACTTGCCGTCTTGGAACACGCTGCAAACCACGCTACATAAAATGCACCGCTATTTGCAACATGTTTATTTTATTATTGTGCGAAGTTATGATCGGGTCACATGAAATGCACACCCGAATTTGGATTTACGTATCGCAACTATGGCACAGGAACCATGCCCATAATTACAATAATTTATTAATTTATTATTAATCGCGGCTAAAGTAACTAGCGCATTTGATTATCTAAAAATTATTTATGGAAGGAACAAAGGAGGGCATACAACAACATTAGTTTGATGGCATATTAATTCTTATCTAACAAACCAATTATGTGCACTTTTTATGGAGAAGACAAACTATTTAATACCTATGTACTTATTGTTACCACTGGAGGGTTTAATCTTGAATTAGACTCAATCTTTCAAACAGCAACCATATAACGGGAGATACTAAAACATTTCATGGCAAAGAATATCCATACCAATTTGCAGAAGAGATCCAATTATTCCTGGAATCCAAAATGGTAGCCAGAGGCTACTTCAAACATCATAATGTCATATAAATTTATCACCAACAAGATCAAACCATATATACTTTGTTCATTAAACACAAATGAAGAGTGACAAGTTATTATTGTAGAAGGCAATTTGCTGAAAAGCAGACTAGACCAAGTTAATTGCAAGTCTCGTAGCCCATTAAAGTTAACAATTTCAGATTCTTGCCACAATTTCACAGGTAATAGTCTATATTTGCTTACAGAAGCATGACATTGGATACAATATACACACAAGCACCAAGTACAGACCTCCAAATAGCAACAACACATTCGAATATTTCTCTTACTTCTTATTTTAAAGAATATAAGAATATGAAGTAACTATTAGGATTTTTCACAAATGAGATTAAAAAAAAAGGAGTGCCTTTAGAGAGCTTAGAACGTCCAGAAAACAGTGACGAGGAAGGAACTTGCCATTATTAAAAGATTCTTGAAGTTCCGCTCATTTCTCTTTCTCTAGAGTTCTCTCTTCTAAAGAGGTTTAAGTGCTGAAATTTTCTGAGAAATGAATATCCATAAGGAAAATGGGAGAAACGGGTCTTCTACTGCAGTGATGATTTGATATTTTTTTTCAAATAATAAAATAGGAAACATGTACATAGCAATATTGAAGCTCGCATACTGAGTTTATTACTTGCAAACAGATGGATGCATGAGTAAGAAGACCCAAAACCAAGAAAAACAGATGGATACATAGAAAAATATTATTTTTACTTCAAGAAGTTAAGACCCAAAATCAAGAAAAACTTTGTATACTACATGAATTTTAAAACCAACAGAAAGTATTCATATAAGACCAAAAAAAATTCAATCTATATAACTAAAACGGAAAAGGGTCAAATATATCCCTTTACTATTGAACATTGTTTAAACTTACCCTCCGTTATACTATCAATATATATAAACCCCTACTGTTATACTATGGTTCAAAATTACCCTTAATTTTGACAGAGAGACACGTGGCAGTCCAGGAACAAAAGGCCCAACCCCAATTTTAAAATACCCATAATTAAAACCCACGGTAAGTTTACCCGTTACCTCACCCATATCATCCACTAGAATAACCCCCTCAATTAAAAGAAAATTGGTCACCATTATCTTCTTCTTCCTTTCTTCTATCAGTAGTTGCACCATCATTAATGGCAATTGAGATATTCCTACTGGAATAGCAGCCAAAGGTTTGTTATAACCAAACTCCTGGACTGTAGAATCGTGGTTCAATTCCAGGAATAAACCTCTTATTCACTTCTAATACTTAGAATTAAACGACGGAATAAGGGAAAACCCATCGAAGAACCATAACTATCTGAAGAAGGCATTTGTAATCCAATACACATAACCTCCTACATAATCTTTTCCGTTTAGCCAAATAATACTTCCTCAAAATCAATAAAACAGCCCAACTCAATATAACATATCCAGGTAAAATACCTTCAACCAGGGCAATTTACGTAACACCAAACAAGAAAAAGGAAATTAGTTTACTGACGAAGCTTGTGTTTATAGGATTTGCTGCTCGTACTCTGTCAAATTCTAGTATAGTTTATGATATCTCCCACAGAGATTGGACAATCTAAGCTACAGACTTGTAATATTTTGACTACTATTTGAGAGAACCAAATTGATGAAAGGTGTGTTTGGAATTTTAAATTAAGACAAATTTCTTCTGAAAAGTTTATATTTAAAAAGAGTTGGGAATCGTTGAATTCACTTGATATATCATTACAATAAAATCTCAGTTTCATACGTATTTCTCTAAAGAATAAATTGCTTATTGCTAATACAATTATTTTTTTACACTAAGAAATAAATAAATAATTAACACTCCGTGAGGTTATGTCAATTAATTGATTTAAAACTAGTGACGATTAAACCGAAATATCTTGCCTGAATTGTGCTCAAGCGTAGTAAAAACTTCGTGAGAATATTTTTACTAGAAAATCAATAATCTTGCCTTCAACAATTCCTCCGTGAGAATTAAAACTGAGGAAGGAAAGATTACAAATTCGAAATAGTAATCTTACTAGAAATTACTTTCACTCTAATATTCTGTGAGTAAAAACTTCGTGAGAATATTTTTACTAGAAAATCAATAATCTTGCCTTCAACAATTCCTCCGTGAGAATTAAAACTGAGGAAAGCAAGATTACAGACTTGAAATAATAATCTTACCAAAAATTACTTTCACTCTAATAATTTATTCATCAATTATTATATATTAATTTTGCTATGTTAGAATTACAAAATTAATATAAGAATAAATTAGATATAAAATATGTAGATGTGATAATAATGATTAAAAAATTATCATTCCAGCATAGTATGAAATGAAAATAGAGTTTCAGGCCAAGTATTGAAACTGAGATAGTATTATAATTATATCAAGCTTCATCAACTATCCCAACAAAAAGAAATTACTCCATTATGAAGTAAGAAAAGCTAAAAATACTTTCAAAAAACTAAGAATATTTTAGTACAAAGAGAAATATTAGAGGAAGAGACCAAGATTACTCTTCTCTTTCTCTTTAGAAAACTAGATAGAAAATTGGATACAAAGTGGGATGCTCTTTCTTCTACAAACATATGGCTATTTATAGGAAAATTCCTACAAGGCCTTGGCGAGAAATTGCAATATAATATTAATATATCATATGGCCTTGACGAGAAATTGATATGGCAATTTGTCTTGATATTTTGGTGAGAATTTGCCATAACTTTGTATCTCTTGACTTTGTCTAGTCTTAGATGAAATTGTCACGAATGCACCCTTCTTCCTTGAACTGTAGATTCTTTCTTTTTCTCTTTTTTCATGTATTCTTTTTCCTGCGCGAATTGTTAGAAAAGCGCGAGAATAGGATATAAATTGGTCATGTTTTATATCTAAAATATTATATTTTTATATTAAAATATATGAATAATTTATATCCATCAAATACCCCCACACTTGAATTTTTGCTCGTCCTCGAGGAAAAGAATTTTGAAAAAGATATGTTACTATATTTGTTTTTTTTTTAAATTATGGCGAATCTTGTAAAATGAAAATTTAATCAAATAAAATCTATCATGCTTTCAAACTTTATAAATTTTCTATATTCATCAAATCTTTACCTTGTTTTTACTTTTATTTTTATTCAACAAAAATTGTACCTTCTTTCTTTTTGAGACTTCTCTAAAATTGATAACTTTATGATCATTTGCATTGAGTATTCCTCATCTTTTGTCCATAGGCTTGCCCTTTATGTTTATCTTCACTAATGTAGACTAAACACTGATTTCTAAAATCTTTTAGGATGTTTTCTGGCTTGTAATGTTGGCTTCAGGCTAGTAGGTTAAAGGTTATATTTGTAGTGACTTATCTTTTTCCAGTTTTGGAGCAGAATATTTCTAAGATCAGACTTTCCAAATATTTGCTATTAATATTTTTTTTTGTACTTATAATGCTTGAACATAAGACCAATCTCTCCTTTTTTTTCTTTTCTTTAATTCTGATTCTTTTTCAAAATGAGCTCCAAACTTATTTTCTGAAAAAGGACTTTTAAAATCATAAGCATGAATGTGATATTTAAATTTGGGCATCTTAGGTATCAAAGGAAAAAATTAGGTCTTCAAGCTTCAAAATAGGTGCTAGGGATTTATTTTTTTGTAGTAAATTTTTGTGCAATATCTAGAAAAGGCTGAGGTAAACAAAGAAAGCCTAAATTCATATTTCAAAAATCAGTGTTGTCTAGGATTTCGCCTCGAAAGACATTCGGGGCAAGTTCTAGCATATAGATTATAAGTTCTACTTGCTTTTTGATCATAATGGTTCTCAATCTCTGAATATCTTGCCAAGTATTGAAGATATTTGTTCTTTCCTTCATAAAAATAAACTTAAAAACAAGAAAGTTATGTGGTAAATATAAAAAATATATATTTGATATAGAATGATAAGAGTTTTATTTTGATAAATTAACACTTTACAAGAGGCATAATTATTAAAAAAAATCTATTATATATATATATATATATATATAGATAGATAGATAGATAAAAATCTTTTTGGCTTTCAAATATACAACTGCAGAAGAAAGCTTGAAAGAAACTGCAGCCACACACCTTTTGCGTATAAATAACAAGTCTAGTTTGTATATAAACTAGAAAATTACCTGTACCAACATATGAATTACATTATTAAATGGTTAACCAACCAGTTACTTAGGCATACCGATCACCATGGAGTTACTCCTGTATAGGTGACTCTGTTTTTGTAGAGGCCTTCATGAGATGTTCTGGTTGTACAATAACCTGGATATTAACCAGATCAATTGATTAAGCATTTAACTATTTAAATCTATGTTGGACTTATGAGGCTCCATTGCTTCACCCTCAATGGCTACGGGTAAGGAACCATAGTTCTGAGTTTAACGTCGCCAGCTCGACTTATTAATTGTAGACTTCATCAATCTATCAAAGTGACAGATGGTTGTTGCTCAAAATGCCCTCCAAAATATAATTTTAACCTGTGACCATTTACCTTAAATTTGTCTCCTCCATTGGTTTGTTGAATTTCAATTGCTCCGTATGGAGTAACATCTGTAACATTGTAAGGACCCGTCCACCTGGATTTTAATTTTCCTGGAAATAGCTTGAGTCTACTGTTGTATAGAAGTACATGCTCCAATTTTAAAAGTTCTCTGTCGGATTAAATTGTCGTGCCACTTTTTTGTTTTTTCTTTAAAAATTTTGGCATTTTCATAGGCTTCTAATCTGAGTTCTTCCAATTCATTCACCTGAGAAAATCTATTTTTACCAGCAGAGTTTAATTCAAAGTTCAATGCTTTCAACGCCCAAAAAGCTTTGTGTCCTAATTCAACTGGAACATGACAAGCTTTTCCAAAGACTAATCGATATGGAGACGTACCAATAGGCGTTTTAAACGCCGTTCGATATGCCCACAGTGTGTCATCTAATTTTGAAGCCCAGTCTTTTTTGGAGATTCCAACCATTTTTTCAAGTATTCGTTTTAATTCGCGGTTAGAAACCTCAACTTGCCCTTGTGTTTGAGCATGATATGGTGTTCCTGTTTTGTGAGTCACACCATATTTTGACAATAATGCTGAAAATTGTCTATTCATGAAATGAGACCCTTGGTCGCTAATGATAACTCGTGGTGTACCAAACCTAGTAAAAATATTTTTCTTAAGAAAATTGCACACAGTTTGAGCATCATTTTTCCTTGTTGGGATGGTTTCAACCCATCTTGAAACATAATCCACAGCCACAAGGATATATTCAAAAGAATGAGATGAAGGAAAAGGACCCATGAAATCTATCCCCCAAACATCAAATATTTCACATACCTGTATTGATTGCAATGGCATCTCATCTCTCTTAGTGATATTGCCTGTTCTTTGACACCCGTCACACTGTGCAACGTAGGCACGAGCGTCCTTAAAAAGTGTTGGCCAGAAAAATCCAACCTCTAGAACTTTAAAGGCAGTTCGATTTGCTGCATAATGTCCTCCAACTGCTCCATCGTGGAAATGATACAAAATTTTGGTCATTTCTTCTTCTGGTACACATCTTCTGATAATATTATCTGCACAAATTTTAAACAAGTAAGGGTCATCCCACAAATAGTATTTAGCATCATATATCAACTTTTTCCTCTGTTGGTAAGTGAGATTTTGGGGTGTCCATTTTCCAACCAAGTAATTTGCAATATCTGCAAACCAGGGTGGTTGAGTCGCAACTGAGTTGATAGAAAAAATATGTTCATCGGGAAACTCTTCTTTTATATCACATAACTCAAGTGGGGAGTTCTCTAATCTAGACAAATGGTCAGGTACCTGATTCTCTGTTCACTTTTTATCTTTTATTTCGAGCTCAAATTCTTGGAGAAGTAAAATCCATATTAACAATCTAGGTCGCGCATCTTTTTTTGCTAAGAGGTATTTTAGAGCCGCATGGTCAGTAAAAACAATGACCTTGGTTCCTATCAGATAGGAATGAAACTTATCAAATGCAAATACCACTGCTAGTAGTTCTTTTTTAGTCGTGGCATAATTTAGTTGAGCCTCATTAATTGTCCTGCTGGCATAGTAAATTGGACGAAAAATCTTATCTTTTCTCTGGCCTAAAACAGCTCCAACTGCTGTATCACTAGCATCACACATGACCTCAAAAGGTTGGTTCCAATCAGGGGACACAATTATAGGGGCAGTTGATAATTTTTATTTAAGGGTGTCAAAGGCTTTCATACACTCACCTGAAAATTCAAACTTAACATCTTTCATTAAAAGGTTAGTCAGTGGTTTTGAAATCTTTGAAAAATCTTTTATGAACCGTCTGTAAAAACCTGCATGACCTAGAAAGCTTCTAATGCCTTTAACAGTTGTGGGAGGGGGTAATCATGCTATAAGATTAATTTTAGCCTTATCAACTTCTATCCCTTTAGCAGTGATTTTATGTCTAAAATAATTCCCTCAGTAACCATAAAATGACATTTTTCCCAATTAAGAATTAAGTTTGTCTCTTCACATCTCTTAAGAACTAAGGTTAAGTGGTGAAGACAATCCTCAAAATCCTTGCCGAAGAGTGTAAAATCATCCATGAAAATTTCAAGAAATTTTTCGGTTATGTCAGAAAAAATTGCTGACATGCAACGCTGAAATGTAGCAGGGGCGTTGCACAAACCAAATGGCATTCTCCTATATGCATATGTTCCATGAGGACATGAGAAAGTTGTCTTATCTTGATCTTCTGGTGCGATTGGTATTTGGTTATACCCTGAATAGCCATCAAGAAAACAATAAAACTCATATCCTGCAATTCTTTCTAACATTTGATCAATAAATGGCAAAGGAAAGTGATCTTTTCTAGTGGTATCATTAAGATGTCTATAATCTATACAGACTTTCCATCCTGTGGCGGTCCTGGTAGGTATTAGTTCATTATTTTTATTTTTTATCACTGTCATACCTCCTTTTTTTGGTACTACCTGAACAGGACTTACCCAAGGGCTATCAGAAATAGGGTAAATAATACCTGCCGCCAAAAGCTTTACAATCTCCTTTTTTACCACTTCCTGCATTGCTGGGTTTAATCTTCTTAGGGGTTGGACTATTGGTTTGTAGCTATCCTCCATGAGGATTCTGTGGGTACAAATTGCTGGATTAATCCCTTTGATATCTTCTACAGTCCATCCCAAGGCTCCTTTGTGTGCTTTTAATACTTCAATCAATCTTTCTTCCTGTTCTGTAGTTAGAGAAGATGAAATAATTACTGAAAATAACTCATGCTCAAGATAGACATATTTCAAATGAGAAGGGAGAGTTTTGAGTTCAATTTTTGGTTGAACTTCTTCTAATTGCATGTCCCCTTCCTCATAATCTTTTTCCAATAACTTTGCATCATTTTTGATAGTCGGATCTTCATCCTTGTCACGACCCAAAATCCATTAAGGGTCGTGATGGCGCCGGACACTGCTGTCAGGCAAGCCAACCAAATACTTAATTAAACTCCAATTTTAACAATTTTGGAAATCAAGATTCTCCTTTAAATTTCATAAGTAAAAAGATAACTGCTTCAATTCAAGATAAATACTAGCAATCAATACAAAAATATTTAAAAACTATCCCAAAACCCGGTGTCACAAGTGCATGAGCATCTACTGATAAGGAAATAAAATACAATACAACATCCGTCCGGAATACAGTGGACGGAAAGAAAATACAATTACTGGAAGGGACTTTACTAGCTGCGGGCCGCCTCGAATAATGCAACTCACCTAGTCCCCGAATCATCTGTGCTGCTATGCCCAGTGGGCTGCTAGAGATAAATATACCTATGCAACAAAAATGTACAGAAGTGTAGTATGAGTACGTAAACAACGTGTACTCAATGAGTATCTCGTCTAATCTCGAAGAAGTAGAGACGAGATGGTCAACTTCGACACTTACTAGAGGTCATTTGACAATATACTAAAAATGTGAGGAAATAATGGATTTATATAGCAGTCCTAATTCACGAAGCCAGAAAACAGGTAAACACCTTCAACAAATAATCAAGGATTTTCAAGGTTTACTCTTCATTATCTTATCAATTTATATAAAGCCATGGAAGGCAATATCAATATTTAAAATTTCCGGGAAACAATATACATATCATGCGCAAATCATGCCGAGGTCGACGGCCCGCTCCAGCAGAAATGTAAACTGTGCACTGCCGAGGGTCGAACGGCACGAACCATAGATGCATCTATTTAATCTATCGAGGCGTTCGGACCGTTCCATAAATAAACACATACCCTGCTCGCGAATCACGCATGCGACGCAGGTACACATAGAGATACATGCTCAATCAGTCAATTAAGAACTTATCGGGAATATATACCCAAATAAAACAATTTCTCTTTTTAACAATTCAGCAAAAATGATGTTTAATCTCCTTTTAAATTCATTTACTAATCCAAGGTGATTCAAGCAATTCAAGCTATCAATGGGTTCATAAATAATCCAAGTATACATGTTTTTGGGCCCTAACTACCCGGACAATAGCATAATAGTAGCTACGCACGGACTCTCGTCACCTCGTGCGTACGTAGCCCCCGCAAATAGGAGCACATAATCAATTATTTCACCTATGGGGACAATTCCCTCTTACAAGGTTAGAAAGGAGACTCACCTCGCTCCGAAGATCCATAACCGGCATTCCACGCCCTTCCGAAGACTCTAATTGATGCACCACGCTCCAAAACTAGCCAACGCTTACGCAAATCCATTAATATATGCACAAATATTCATTACGATCAAATTTATAGCAGTTCCTAACTCTGATCGAAAAGTTGATCAAAACGCCCTCGAGCCCACGTGCCCGAAAATCCGAAATTTCTTGAAGACATACTCTACCCATAGCTTCACTAGCTCAAATATATAATTTACTCCTAATTCCATGCTCAAATTCGTGGTAAAATCCAATTTATCAAGTTTCTAGGTTTTCTTCCAAAAATCTCAATTTTCCCATAATTTTCATGTCTAATTCCATGATATAATCTTGTATTTAACTTGGAAATGAGTAGGAGTAACTTACCTTTACATAGATGACGAAAATCCCACTTGAAGCTCTCCAAAAAATCGCCCAAGCCAAGAAAATATGAGAAGAAGTGGCAAAAATTCCGATTTTAAACAACCATTCTGCCCCCAGCATTTTTCGCACCTGCGGTCCAAATACCGCATATGCGGTCCTCCCTGGGCCACCCCAATCTCGCTTCTGCGACACGCCTCCCGCAGATGCAGTCCCGCTTCTGCGAAACTTTGATCGCATCTGCGGCCTTCGAACCTTTGACCAAAAACCGCTTCTGCGGCTCCGTTTCCGCTTCTGCGGGGCCGCTTCTACGGTTAGCCCACCGCAGAAGCGAAAATACCAGTAACCAGATCCTTCAGCCCTCTTCCAAATTCTAAGTTCGATCCGTTAACCATCCGGAATCCACCCGAGGCCCCCGGACCCCAACCAATCATACCAACCAGTCCCAAAACACATTACGGACTTGCTCGAGGCCTCAAATCACATCATACAACGCTGAAATCAAGAATCAACCCCCCAATCCAAGCTTTATGAACTTTAGAACTTCCAACTTCTACTTTCGATGCTTAAACCTATCAAATCACGTCCGATTGACCTCAAATTTTGCGCACAAGTCATATTTGACATTACGGACCTACTGCAAATTTCAGAATCGGATTCCGACCCTGATATCAAAAAGTCCACTTCCGGTCAAACTTCTCAAAAACCTTCAAATTTCTATTTTTAGCCAAATGGCTCCAAAATGACCTACAGACCTCCGAATTTACTTCCGATCGCGCTCCCAACTCCAGAATCACCATACGGAGCTATTCACAGACTCGGAATCCCAAACGGACATTGATAGCACTGAAATGCACTTCAAGCCAAACTTATGAAATTCTTCAAAAATGTCAACTTCCACAATAAGAGCCAAAACGCTCCCGGGTTATCCAAAATCCGAACCGGGCATACGCCCAAGTCCGAAATCATCATACGAACCTGCTGGAACCTTCAGATCCCGATTCCGAGGTCTTTTACCTAAAATTCCAATCCTAGTTCATTCTTTCAACTTTAAGCTTTCGAAATGAGAATTCTCTTTCCAAATCAACTCTGGACTTCCCGGAGTTCAATTCCGACCACGCGCACAAGTCATAATACCTGAAATGAAGCTGCTCACGGCCTCAGGCTGCTGAACGGAGCGCTAGAACTCAAAACGACCGGTCGGGTCGTTACATTCTCTCTCACTTAAACATACGTTCGTCCTCGAACGTGCTGAGAACTACACTAAAGCAGTCTGAAATCACTGTTTAACACCTCATGCACCTTCCCGTGCTACCACAACTCAATTGGGCGCATTTGCTCGATCAATTCTGAAGATATTTCCTTTTATTCAAGCAGATAGGCCTTAGAGCCTAATTCCAACATCCGGAATTCTCTGTCAGGCCTGTTTCCAACATACGAACACCACATCAATCACCACACGCTGTACCCAAACATAACTGCATAGCTTTGCTGAATTCACCCCTTGCATCATTTTACTCATCGGACCACAATAACATTTCCTGATCAACTTAGTCGAAATTCCACGAATCTGATGCTCCCATTGCACCCCATGACATACACCGGTCTTACTCTAACTCTTACAATACCGCCACTGCGGAAGAGATGTGCAGGAATTCATAATCAACTGCCGAATCAACCAATCATTTGGGTCTATACTCCTGAGAATAACCATCACCTCATTCTGAACCAAATAATGGTCTTAGCTCCTTAATGTACTTCATATAGTCAGATTGCACTGATCCTAATTCCAATGATCTCGTCTCACCCAGTACGAACTGCTCAGGCAATAAGCCACCCCGGACATAATCAAAAG